TCAAGCTTGAATCATAGTACAGAGTAAGCTAAACAATGAGGCAGATAAACAATTGTTCACAAATATAAGTGTTTAATCATAAGATTGAAGCATTAGGGGAGACCGGGGTCCCATGAGCCACTTTTTGTTTTTCGCACCTGTAGGCTTCAAATGGCGAGATATCTGAACTTTCTGAGGCGGGGCTGCCACTGTGGTTCATTACCCATCAAACGGCACCCATGACCCATGCCGTATTTTTAGCACGACTCACTTCGGCACACGGCTTAATGTAAAAATACCTTGCAATGGCTCATGGGACCCCGGGCCGGGCCTGGGGTCCCACCCGCAGGGACCCATGATTTTAACGGTAATTCCGATGCCAAAAGGGTATAAAATTAATTTTCATGCAGTTTAACGATTTAAGATAAAAAATAGTTATTGCAAACAGTTCATTTCTTTGTAGACTCGGCTGAGAAGGTCCTTTTCTTTATTTTTGCGTATTTTCGAGTGAAGCAGTTCGGAAACATACTAAGATATACAAAAGTAATTCATTCATTCATGACAACATTGGCAAGGTGTGCCAAAACAAAGGTGGACAAATGCGCAGCGATTTGTGTTGCACTTGGTCACACCACAAGATAGTTTATGTACCAAACCCTTCAAAAAGGGGTGGCTCATGGGACCCCAGGTACAAATGGCTCATGGGTCCCCGAGGTGCACATTTTCATTCAAAGTGATGGTGTGCAGTTAGTTTTGGGATTAGGGCTTCGGGATCGGGCTCAAATTGACGGCCTAGGACTAGATGACAACAGCGAAGCAAGACCGCAAATGAAAAGTATTAATAAATGGCCGAAAGCGACCATAGCCGTTTCATGGGAAAATTTACTTTTCCTCAAAATGGGGGAATGTTCTTCTTTGACCTCAGCTCACGCCTGCGTAAGTGACACCCGGCCTACCACTCTCTGGCTACCAACAACATATCTTAAGGGGAAGCCATCACTATTTTTTTAGCGATCCTGCCACCTATAGTTTTCGAGATATAGGCAATGGCTCATGGGACCCCATGGCTCATGGGACCCCGGTCTCCCCTACACACTTCATAATTCTACAAATGTTGATGTCATTTAGGTACTGGTGGATATTGAAGTGGTTAAAAAGTTTTATGGAAGTGATGCAAAAGGATT